TATGCTGCGGAAAGGAATATAAAGGAGAAACAGGCCGCCCCCTCAATGTAAGACTTCAAGAACACCAGAAAGCTGTAACACGAGGGGAAGTGAAAAAATCAGGCGTGGCTGACCACATATGGAGAGAAAAGAGAGATCACCGCCCTCCGTGGGGTCATGTTGAGATCATAGACAAGGAACACCATTGGAAAATTCGTAAACTTAAGGAATCAGCACATATGCTAAGCCACAAAAATCTCCAGAGCCGACCAAGCATAGAAATAAATACAATATGGGAACCAGTAATAAGGAGTACCAGAGAAAAATCAATGATAACTACAAAGTTGCAATATGAGCTCTGGAAAAAAACATGTAATGATAACAGCAAAATTGCAATATGAGCACTGGTAAAAATGGTTGCTGAAGACATTAGGTTTATAATACCCAGAAATTCATACCCAGATGTCCCCAAGAACATATGGCATAGTGGATAAAGGCGTTGGTTAGAGACAGGACCCAAAGAGTGTGAGTTCAATACCCGGTTAAGGCACAGGAGATAACTGATAACTGACATCCATCCAACATGGCAACAGTCCACCCCAGTGAGCGAAATAAAGTGTTCAGTTCGACATTCCAACCACCTGAAGAAGGCCGGAGCGTATAACGGCCGAAACGTCGCAATAAATATGGCGACAAAGATGAGGACAATAGTGCGAATGATGTAAATAAAATTTGTGGATCAATTTTAATATTTAATGTTAATAGTATTTACTTGGATGACATCCCCACAGATTCTTTTTTTTTTTTACATATATATATAGCTGTCGAAAGAGGTTTCGGGAGCGAGCGGTGTATCTTTTGTCCCGCTGAGTATCATGGATGTACGGACTGCATAATGCAGAGCTGATGGGGCAATGCATAGCGACTTGAGAAAGAAGAGGGCTGATCGCTCGACTTCCAGTCGTGTAGATGAGGTTCACTTACGCGCAAATATTCTGAGACAAGGTATGAATTCATCTCTTCTCCCTGGCTATAGCTTAAACAGAAGTGCAGACTTTTTCGTCTTCCACCGAATGGACACTAATCTAGAAGGACAAATCTTAACCCTAATTTAATATCCATCCATAACGTATGAGGATAGGAAGAAGCAAAGCAAAATATTTACCTCTGATAAACTTTAATTCAAAAATTTACACACAATACATCATGAAAACCAACAATCAATGATGCAAGAGACCAATTATAGCAATATGTTATAATAAATACTTTGTTGTTCATATCTTCGTTCTTAACGCATATCTTAGCGACCTATGGGCACCTCGAGGCGGTGTAATAGTTAGCAAGTTTGTCTCTTTAGAACAATTACGACTGAATAGTGAGTTCGATCCTCACTAGTTGCCTCAAACTTTCAGTCTTGTGCCACATGTAAGCTACGCTTGGAAAATCACTATCTTAACGACCTCTACATAGTATTCCTTTTCTATCCTCATTAAATGGAGTATTTTTATCTTTTCCAATTAACGAAACCACTTCACAGAAATTCTTTGGCATCTTCTGGCTGGAAGTCTCACTCTTTCGCTTTGTGACGATTTCTGTGTAAACGTAATTATTTCTTAATTCTACAGACAGAGCATGAACATTCACAGCTGCTAAATGAAACATCAGGCACTGAGCACGCAGTAATTTCTATAAATACATTTGATTAATCTGGTTCTAGTCGACTGAAGTTCGCGAGTGGTTGAAACTTGAGTAGCAACTCGAGCTGCCCTTCGTTGAGTGTCGACGTTGTGAAACATTTTACCACTGTCTAGATAGTCTAATTTAGTCTTTAATTTGCAGCGAATGTCGGTGTTCACATTTTAGACTGTTTTTATCAATAAAGGTATTAAGCTGGCTGGCAAGTTGTCTACTTTTTTTAATATATATATATATATATATATATATATATATATATATATATATATATATATATATGCTACAGTCCGGTTCCTTGTACCACGGTGATAGTCCAAGGTAGAATCAGTAAAGAAGAACTCGAACACGTATATGGAATAACACAGATATATTACAAACAGGAATATATACAGAGAAGTAGAAAGTGTTAGTACGAACCATCAGCTTTAGTATTAATTGTCTAAACACGACTCTGTTTCGGTCTGCCTCTGACTCGACTGACTGACTCGCTCACTCTGACTGACTGACAGACTCCTGACGGACTTCACTCCAGACTTCAGACTGAACAGTGTTTAGTCACCCCCCCCCCACGAGGGCATCGTGTGGCACAAGGCCGGTTTAACGTGGGATCTCCGAGCCTGTGGGCTCAGCCAAAAATATGCCCTTTGAACCCGTATAAATGGGTTCAGGGTCGGTTTACCTCCCCGAAAGGAACTCCGCCCTTCGGTGTAGACTCGTTCGGGTTCCTCTCCGCCCGAAGACAAAGAGTTCAACCGATCAGCCGGTCAGCCGGTCAGCCGACTTCAGACTGAACTCCCTGCTTCCTCTTGAGGCGCAGTATTTATTACGTATGGAATAGTCCATTATGTTAATATGGGTACGGTCCCTTAACAATATATATACCCGGTGTAACAGCAAAATTGTCCAAATGGGGGGGGGGCTAAGGTAACAGCATAATTTTCTATCCAACAAAATGTTAAATATGTAAAACAACTATTAAACTAATTGTATTTCTTTTTTCCAGGTTTCAGTTTAGCCATCTTGACCCGATTTGTATGAAAAAACATTTGAGTTATTCAGCTAGAAAGATAACAGGTTAAAATCGTTTTGTGTCAGACCCACTGTCTTCTGAACTGAGCAACGATGAGAGGAAAAAGATCATTCAGCCCATTTTCAAAGTCCATTCAAAAACTTCTACGACATTCCAAAGAGCAGTGAATAAAAGATTGAAAATTAAATAGTATGTGAAACATGTGAGACAACTTCTTACTACAGGACAGGAATTTAGAAGGTTAGAGAGTGCGAAGATCATCTTGAATAAGTTGGAAACTGATCCTGGAATAATAATAATAATAATAATAATATATATATATATATATATATATATATATATATTTGAATTTAATATCAGTCCATCATGAGCTTCTGATCCTTGGCTATGATTAATTAACGATGAACATTTTCGTTTACGATCGATTTCATTACGATTCTTCTATTAAGCCTGCAGAGTAACTTATACATTTGTATCGCTCTGAGTTGAATCCAATAGTGTTATATATTCTATTTATATATTCTATTTTCTATCTCAAGACATTCGTATATATATATATATATATATATATATATATATATATATATATATATATATAAACATGCTACTGACAAAGCGGGGAATGAACGAGGAAGAGGTAAAGAGAAAGGGAAATTCTTTGATTATTATTATCAATGCAAACATTGTTATCCTGTCTCGAAGTTTGCTAGGAGATACTTTCTATTAAGTTTACACGTCGTCATTGCCACCGATCTTTCGTTTAACCGCTAATCTTGGTCAGGGTACTGCATTATTGCCAACTACTCTTGATTAAACCTTGCAGATTTTATTACCGATACCAAATGTACGGGTTTTTCTGACCACATCCCATTACGTACTAAGATTTTTCTTTTCTTTACCTTTCATTTCCCATCAGACATTTACGTGCCATGCATGATACACGCTTAGACGATCATGTATCGTTCGGTATATGACTGACGACGTAGATTGTTTCCGCAGTAGCTTTCTGCGGTAGAACATTTGCCATCCAAGGCTACAGAACTCAGACTGTCCTGCCTATTTAACCATAGTTTGAGTGAGGAGAAGAAGAGGATTCATACCTTTCCCAAGGGTATTAACACGTAAGTGAATGTAATGGATTTGACTGGGATTCGAATTCTGATTCTTTAATCCGAGCCGCTACCCATTACTCCACCGTGCCTCCTCTCATACATAATTAGTAACTCATGTAATATTTTTATACTTTGTCAGTTTGAAGGATGATTTGTGGTTGTAATGCCTTGCTTTAAACTCTCCTTCCATTGACCCAATATACACTTTTTCAATTCCATTTTCTAGTTCTATCCTTGCTCTATTTATAAGTCCCTCCACCAAGCTGTCATCGTTTAGCGGACAATTTAAAAAACATTTCATATTTTTCTCGGCTGCATTCATTCCTGCAGTCGCTCTCTCCATACTCAATTTTAATTTATCATTACTCCCTTTTATTATTTTCTCTATGTTTTTCATGCAACTGTAAAGAATTCTGACTTATTTTTTTCATTAGAAACCTTGTATAAGTCTTTTGAGAAAATGCTTATTTAACAATATAAAGGTCTTTCCGTTCTTCGTTTTCACATCTAAATTGAAGTGTGAGGGGGCAAACAAAACAATAGTTCATTTACTTTTTATTTTTTTGATGACGCTTTTCAGATGTTACAATAGATTTATGCACCAATTTAGCTTTATGCATGTCTTTATATAATAGCTTCTCCTAGACCCTCTTAGCTCTTCAGATATGACAGTTCCTTGATTTCCTTGATAATGTTCATTCAATTCCCTTAGATATATGGATAACTAGCAGTAGATCGCGGCGTTGCCCGGGGATGTGACAGTAAGAGATAGATCAAGTATCGACCATCATAAAGACTGAAAAATAAAATTAACCAAGATTATTGTTTAAGGTTGACGGACACGCATGTCTTAATTAGTTTTATATTTTTTAATTTTTTACGAATTGGTCAAACCCAAACTCAAACAAAAACATTGTTTTCAATCGTTATGATTGAATAGACTTTTATTATAAACAATTGTCTTGTAAATGGAATTTTTAGAGCATTCTGAATGTAAAAATAAAGAAAAAAGTGTGCAAGACAATAAGAAACACTACCTGCCAAAAAGAAGTGAAGTTTTGTTGAAATCGTTTGAAAAATGTAGGAAATCCGATCCCATATATAAACGAACACACACACACACACACACACACACACACACACACACACACACACACACACACACCTGGGTTTTATAATAAGTATAATTCGATAACTCGATATTAATAAGTATAACTCGATATTAATGCTTCTTAATCGTGTTTTCAAATTGATTTTGTGCAAAAACAATTGTATTTTTCCAATTTTTGGCGCTGTCAGAACCACCGCAAGGTAATTTTACGTAGTCCTGTGAAGTTTTGTTGAAATCGGTTGAAAAATGTAGGAAATCCGATCCAATATATAAACGTACAGACACAAACACACAACCTGCGTTTTATAAGTAAGATTACTACATTAGTGTCGTTCGGCTTACTGTTTACATACAGCAACTTATTATTTGGTTTCATGGAAGGTGAGGCGTTTTTATCTGCAAAGTTAAATTTGCCATCGATCTATTGAACAACATTGAATTTCATTTCTACCTCAATATCAGAACATAGCTTCTTACAAAGCGTGAATAATATTTTGTCTAATTCTGACATTTTCATTTCTTTTATCCATAACCACTATTAAACCGTTATCCCAAAACAGGCCATGGTCATTAATGTGACCTTAATTAATCTTATTTAATTCTGCTAATAGAGACACATGAGCTTTGATACCCTCTGCGCCATCAAACGAGTCTTGAGTAACGTCAAACTTATTGCTTTTTGCGTTTTTATCTCATGTATAGTTATTGTGACAATGTACTGATGCTCTGCAATGTCTAATTATGACCACATGCTCACTTTTTACATCCATAAATTCTCCGACAGAGGTTGTCGCTTTATCAAGCTTCTCTTCTAATACTGACGAGTAAAAATCTTTAATATCGTCTTTTACGAATACATGATTTTCTTTATTTTTATTGTTTTATTAAACCAAGATATGCAATTCCGTGTATCTCTCCAACTGAGTTACTTGTGTTTGTACTCGTAATACAGTACATGTTTCTTGCAGGCTAATTTTACTAACCCTACCCAACTTTGTTTTGGTTGGTTGGGTTAATCAGCCAGAACGATGGGTTGTTTATAAAATTATATTTATGATCCTTAATCATTATAAACACTTTTCTTTTATTCCATTGCAGGGTTCTTCGCCTATTTTTAACTGGGCAGATTTAATTTGACCTCGCCGTTAATTACATTTACATATCCTTAGGTCGCTTTCGTATAAAATTTAGTGGTGACCTGATCACAAATTCTGTTTTTATATTCTCTTCGGCTAATTGCATATATATTACCGTTCTTAACATCATTTACCAGAGCTTTCTAGGAATTTGTAATTTTTTTTTATTTTATTTAGATACTTTGCCAGCCGTTTTTGAAAATTATTTTTATTCTTATTTTAAGAATATGTGCTGTTGAAGAGTTTGAGAGGACAAGGACGACACTGCTTGCAATGATTAAGCATCGTTGAACCAAGTACAAGGGTGTGAAGAGGGATTATATTGAAAAATAATGAAAAATTGGCTCGTTTCTCCAAATCGTTCTTGGTAGAGGCTTGGAAATTTTTCAACGAACCTCGGATTAGGCCATTCAGTTAGTCAATTGAGTATGTCATACACGTTTGGCTGATCATGTCTCTTTCGATACTGACGAGGCAGAAGATTTTCTCATAGAAGGTTGCCGTTTCTTTCTGCAGTAGACTGGTTGCCAACCGAGGCTATACGACATAGTCTGTCCTGCTTTTCATCCCATAGTTGGTGAGGTGAATACAAGTGATCGATTCTTACATTTCCCAAGATTATTTGCGTGTAAGTGAATGTAATGAATCCGACTGGAATTCGAACACGGATCTCCGATATCTCAGCCCAAGCCGATATCAATGACAATACAATACGTTTAAAAAAAATCTGCAGCATTTCCTTACGGTAAATATAACCGATACATAGACTAACAGCCACGTAAGATGGGAACATTAGTTCCCGTAGGATCACAGAATTTAAGCAACATCAAGGCCTGTCAGTAAGTAGATGGGCTCCACGTTGCTTAACTCCGGTGATCAAATCGGCGTATCCAGCATGATTTGATTGTAGGTTTTACGGAACATAAAAAGGGGTATCGGATTTCTATCATTAAGTAATGAACTGATCCCAATATAATTATTAGATCTTAATGAAATAATTTCAAAATGTATTTAAGGATACACATATGAGAATCTTCTAATAACAGTAAAGATTTCATGAAAAATACCCTCATAAGTTATGGATAAGCTAAGATCGTGCCGGGTATAAATTGGGAGATTAGTCTTCTTTTTTCATTAAGTAATAAGCAGTTAGCCGATTTATATTCATATCTGAGAGTATTTTAATGATCTGCTAGTTCAGTCAGGGACCTTATAAGTCCTTTTTATCTTCCGTCCGTCTGTTCTTTTGTCCGAGGTGGATACCTTGTACGATGGCAGTATAAAGACTTTTGGTTCGTGTGACGTGTGTATACTGTTTCACGGCTTTAAGGCCAAATCGCGATGAAACCGGTTCCTGTACGATCAGCGAAGTTAAGCAATGTAGAAACTGGTCAGTACCTTGATGGGTGACCGTTTGGAAATACCAGGTGCTGCAGGCAGTTGAATGGATAATGGGTTGGAATTGTTAATCGGAGAGCCGAGTTCAAATTCTAGTTGTGTTCATTAGATTCATTTACACGTAACTGTACTTGGGGAAACTATGGTGATTGTCTAAGCGAAGCTAATATGTGGCACAAGGCCGAAAGTTTGGGGCACCCACTGACGATTGAAATCACTAGTCAGTCGTAATTTTTCCAGCAAGACAAGGCTGTATCCATTACACCACGTTCCGATGCTTCTCCAGTGGGAAAACTATAAATTTAGCTATTATCCCCCCAGGTATGGGTTAATTAGTAAGACTAGGATCACTAAACCATTATTATCTGCAAACATAAAAACTTGCAATTTAAAATATTTTCCGGCTTTCAATATCCGTCAAAGGGTGGATAAGCCGTAAAAAATGATCAATTAATCTGTCGGTAATCGTTTTTATATCTCCGTTGTCTCATTCCTATAGATATATAAATCTATAAAAAAGGATTACTTTAGACCAGCATTTCTAAACCTTTTTACCCTTACGTAACTCTTAAAATAAATTACATGTCTCAAGGAACCCCTGCGCAGAAACAAAATTATACAACATATTTTTCTCATTTTATTTTCCTCGTAGTCCACGTGGTAAATATCATAGTATATATTTTTGAATAAATGGTTTAAGGAAAAATTAAATTTTTCAATATTGCTAAATAAAATTCATACTGTTCGTTTATAATTCTTCATCAGGAAGTTTTCATTCACACGAAAAATTCTTAACTCAAACGTAAAAATAAAAAATAAGTAACCAATATCATATACCTATAATAATAAATGTAAACAAAACGAAAACAGATAATTGGTGTATCATTTTTTTTTAATATTTTTTATCTTTTACTGGTAATGTATTACCTTATGGTTCCGGGGAACCCAGGTTGAGAAACGCTGCTTTAGACCGTTGGAATCCGTATGGAGGACGAAATGCTTCACACATAATTATTTCCATTTAGTCATTATTTTGCCTAAATACTTTATGTTTTACATCTTTCTCAATTTAGATGTTGTTACTTAATATAAGCAATTAATTTGCCTATATCGATTATGAATAAATTACCATTCTGTTGTTTTCTGATCTTTATAAAGAACCGATTTTTAGATGATAGTTTTTATAAAATTATTGAAATTTATTCAAGTAATTTCTGTTCTGAAAATGGTAACTATATCAGTAATTATATCTAGCGATCGAAGCCACATCTGATTTGAGGCTCCTGCTATATATTTAGAGATTCTTGATACTCCCCCACTCATAAAGTACCTGTCCTGATACCTTGCTTTGAGTCCCTTTCTCACCGTTGTAATGTAGCCTCACTGTGACTTTATTTTAAGCGCTGAAATCTGATGCTGTTTTCTCGATTATTGACGTTGGACCCATTTTTGTGGTTCTATAGACGGACATATATAGATATAGAATATTTCAAAAAACAAGCAAATATTATTACCGTTGCAATTACGGATAAAATCCTCCTTAACAAAATCTTCTTGGAGATTACATTAAAGGAAGGTGATATAAACTTAAGTCGGCCACTAACATAGATTTGTAATATTGCAGACTAACAAATAAATAGGAGTGCAAACAATTATGTGGTTACACACACGTGTGTGTATGTATGCATGTATACAGGGTGCGATAGATAAATTGTCGTACATTACACAAAAAAATGAAAATAACGCATTAATTTCATTTTAACAGATATGTTTTCCAAAAATACACAAAAATATCATGAATTACATTATTGACATTATTCGGACTGTTATCCTCATCTTCATTGCCATATTCACAACGTTTCGCTCGATGTATGCTCCGGCTTTATTAGGTGACTGCAATTTCGAACTTTTATTTCGTCCACCGGAGTAGATTGTTCTAGTTCCACGTACCATACCTTTTGCGTTGGTTAAATCCAGGGAGACCCAAAGAGTTGTGCGTTTAATACCAGGCTACGGCAGTGGTAAATAAAATAAAAAATCTTAGCATTAACCACAGCCACCAGACGACTTCTGAATCTCTTACAACTCTTCTGGACGATCTCCTTTCATTTTAATTTGGTGAATGCTGCCATAATACTTGCTTTCAGTTCATCATTCATGTTAGAAGGAGTTTTGTGGTCTCTCGCTCAACTGTCCCTCACATAAGGGGATTTCAGTCTGGGTAATTAGGTGTCCAGATTAAAGGGGTGATGTGGTCGCACAAATTGTTTGACAGGCATGACTGGGTACTCTTGCTTGTGTGGCATGGTGCAGAGGATGGCTGCCAAACGTAGGGGCTTCCAGCTGACACCTTCTTGTAGCACTATCTCGTCAAGACACTTTATGTAAGGCCCATGTGTTTTGCCTGAGGCCCTCACCAACAAATTGTCCGCGATCTGTTCCCAGATTGGAGTGACCTTACATTGTATATTGACATCCGTTGCGGCCGCAGCTATTATCGTGTTGACGTTTTTATATGTTGACGTGTTTTTATGGAACT